ATAGTCTCTGAGATTTGTGGATGCTCCAGATTTTCGTCCTTTGCGGGGGCGAAAGGTGGTGTGGCGAAATTTTGACACAAAATGGTCAAGGTCAGATATCACAGGAGTGTAGATAAAAATTTTGGTTGCTCTAGCTTTTATAGTCTCTGATATCTAGGAACTCATATTTTGCAATTGACAAAACCGACAATGAAACCTGTGTGTTAGAGAGAGATAGAGCGAGAAAGAATGCAATTGTTTTCTTGATTCTGGCAATAATAATTATACGATCTGGTTCAAATTTTGCACTCTAGAAGATATAGTCATCTTCTACGATTCTGCTATTTTAGTTTTCTCGTATTGTCGAAATTGTGTGGCACAGATGCCACAGGGGCGAAGTTTTGAAATATTCTTGTAGCAGTGACATACATATCACTGAAGTCTGGATCGAAAAGATCGTTGCTCTAATAATGGACGCTAATAATGGGCGCTCATAGGGACGGACAGACAGACATAGCTCAATCGACTCGGCTATTGATGCTGATCAAGAATATATATACTTTATGGGGTCGGAAACGATTCCTTCTGGACGTTACACACATCCATTTTCACCACAAATCTAATAACCCCTATACTCATTTTGAGTATCGGGTATACAAATGTAACTTTTAAATGCCCATGGAAAATCAAAACGTAAAATGATATTTCAGATAATTAATTAATTAAAACAGTGAAGAATAAATATCCAAGAGACTTTAAGAGACTGACAACAACATAAATACATACATTAACATATGTAAGTACATACGTACATATGTACATACATATGTATGTGTGTACACATACATATCGGTTTGGTCAACTCTAAAAGAGGAGAAATTAAATAGAAATACCTTTACATTTATCAGCTACATTTAGAAGACAACATATATGTACATACATATCAATATTTTATAATAATAAATAGGTACCACCTGCTAAAAAAAGCTTATAAATAATATTATTTAGACGTCAATAAGCTGAATGAACAATTTTAGAATATGACCAGTTCTGCAGGTACACAAATATTGGTGAAAGAATCTATAAATAAGCCAAAAATTGTTAAAAATAGACTGAATTAATAGATAAGTGGCAGCGCTGACCTACGATAATGCATCGCTTCCACTTAATTATTCTTGAATTTTCCATACCCTACAGTTCACATCATTTCCCCGTACACATGCTCTTGTTATCTCTCTCGCACTCTCTCGTAGCATAGCGAACGTTTTTCACTTTTCACAACATTCCCCTCTTTCGACACTACGGTTATCTCACTCGCACTCTCGCGAAACTTCGCGAATCATCGCGAACGTTCTCCCCTCTTCTGGCAAGGGAATCTCAAACTGGCCGGGAGTATAAATAGCGGCGCCGTTCGCTACCCCTGCACATTTCAATTCAAGCAAGCAACAACACAACAAGCAAAGCAAGCGAAAGTGACGGTTACAACCGAAAACTCTACACAACAAGTAAAAGTGAAACCAGAAATTAGATAAAAGTATTGAAATACAAGTAAAATTCAACAGAATAAAAATCGCAAACGAGGGATTGCAGAAGCAGCCCGGCAACAATAAATTGTTAAAGAAATACAGAAGAAGCCACACACACACACACACAGAAAATGCCGGCCATTGGCATTGACTTGGGCACCACGTACTCGTGCGTCGGTGTCTTCCAGCACGGAAAGGTGGAAATAATCGCCAACGATCAGGGCAACCGCACAACGCCCAGTTATGTGGCATTCACCGATTCGGAGCGCCTCATCGGAGACGCCGCCAAGAACCAGGTGGCGATGAATCCGAAGAACAGTGTGTTCGACGCCAAGCGCCTGATTGGGCGCAAGTTCGACGACTCGAAGATCCAGGATGACATGAAGCACTGGCCCTTCAAGGTGGTCAACGACTGCGGCAAGCCAAAGATGAGTGTCGAGTTCAAGGGCGAGGTGAAGCGCTTTGCCCCGGAGGAAATCAGCTCGATGGTGCTCGTCAAGATGAAGGAGACGGCCGAGGCGTACCTGGGCACCTCAGTGCGCGACGCAGTTATCACAGTGCCAGCGTACTTTAACGACTCCCAGCGCCAGGCCACCAAAGATGCCGGAGCCATCGCCGGCCTCAACGTGTTGCGCATCATCAACGAGCCGACGGCAGCAGCTCTGGCATATGGCCTGGACAAGAATCTCAAGGGGGAGCGCAATGTGCTGATCTTCGATCTGGGTGGCGGCACTTTTGATGTCTCTATTCTGACCATCGACGAAGGATCGCTGTTCGAGGTGCGCGCCACTGCCGGAGACACTCACTTGGGTGGCGAGGACTTTGACAACAGACTGGTGAACCACCTGGCGGAGGAGTTCAAGCGAAAGTTCAAGAAGGACTTGCGCTCCAATCCTCGTGCCCTGCGCCGTCTCCGCACCGCAGCTGAGCGGGCCAAGCGAACGCTGTCTTCCAGCACTGAGGCAACCATCGAAGTGGATGCCCTGTTCGAGGGACACGACTTCTACACAAAGGTCAGCCGTGCCCGCTTCGAGGAGCTATGCGGAGACCTCTTCCGGAATACCCTGCAGCCCGTGGAGAAGGCCCTGAACGACGCCAAGATGGACAAGAGCAAGATTGACGACATCGTCCTGGTGGGCGGATCAACACGCATTCCCAAGGTGCAGAACCTTCTGCAGAGCTTCTTCAATGGCAAGAGCCTCAACCTGTCCATCAACCCAGACGAGGCTGTGGCCTACGGCGCCGCAATCCAGGCTGCCATCCTGTCCGGCGACCAGAGCAGCCAGATCAAGGACGTGCTGCTCGTGGACGTGTCGCCGCTCTCCCTCGGCATCGAGACCGCTGGCGGAGTGATGACCAAGCTGATCGAGCGCAACAGCCGCATCCCGTGCAAGCAATCAAAGACCTTCACCACCTACGCAGACAACCAGCCTGCCGTAACTGTGCAGGTGTTTGAGGGCGAGCGTGCCTTGACGAAGGACAACAATGTGCTGGGAACCTTCAACCTCACGGCCATCCCTCCGGCACCCCGCGGCGTCCCCAAGATTGAGGTCACCTTCGACCTGGACGCCAACGGCATTCTCAACGTCACGGCCAAAGAAATGGGCACTGGCAATGCCAAGAACATCACCATCAAGAACGACAAGGGTCGCCTTTCGCAGGCCGACATCGATCGCATGCTCAGCGAGGCCGAGCAGTACGCCGAGGAGGACGAGAAGCACCGCCAAAGGATCGCTGCCCGCAACCAGCTGGAGAGCTACGTGTTCGGCGTGAAGGAGGCCGCCGACAATGGGGGCGACAGGATCAGCCAGTCGGACAAGAGCAGTGTGCTCGAGAAGTGCAGCGAGATCATCAAGTGGCTCGACGGCAACACAACCGCCGACAAGGAGGAGTACGAGTACAAGCTGAAGGAGCTCACCCAGTTCTGCAGCCCCATCATGACGAAGATGCATCAGCAGGGAGGTACCGGAGATGGTACGCAGGCGCCCAACTGCGGCCAGCAAGCCGGAGGCTTCGCCAACGGTGGCTACAATGGACCCACAGTCGAGGAGGTCGACTAAACTCAAATAGAATATAAAGTTCCTTTAATTTACATAGATCTCACAACCAAAAATCTTTAGAATATGAATTTAATTAAATAAAATAGCGTATTATTTAAATTAAATTGTATTGCATTTGTTACTCGTTTTTCTACTTTGGCAATCCTTCCCGCTTGGCCCAATCCGTCCAGGATCCTTCGTAGTTTTTCAGATTCTTGAAGCCAAGGGCGGCGGCTGCTTCGGCAGCCTTCAGGCTTCGTTTGCCAATCATACAGTGGAATATGATCTCTGTGTTGGCTTGTGGCTTCTCGCGACCATATTTGGACTTGAAGACTTCATTGCAGGCAGACAGCTCTTGGCTGACAATGCCCAAGGGTATGTTGATGCTGGAGGGGATTTGGCCAGTCTTCGTAAGCTCATCTGGTTCCCTTACGTCTATGAGAAGCTTCTGTGGTTCCCGGGGCAGCTTCTTGACCACATCGTATTCCACAATTCCAATTGTCGGGACGCTGCTGCTGCTGAAGAATCGTTGTGATCCGACTAGGGTGCATTTTGGAGGCAAATGTAGAGTAGTTTGAAGGGACAAATTGCTCCTTGTTGCTCTCAGAGCCACCAGGCAATATCTCAGCATTATTTTTAGCTATTCAACAGTCTTACTCGGCAAAAAACAACAATTATATTATTACGTAAAAGCAACAACACAACAAATTCAAGCCGGCAATCAGCTGTTCGTGACACTGGGTTGCAATCGATTGCTCACATTTCATTTGGCGCATAAATTTGAAATAAATTTTGCTTTGATGAAAGGTTTTTGCTTTGACGCAATTGTTTCATTCCAGATCCCGAACTGTTGCCGGGTCCCGGTGCCATCACTCGCGAACTACGTGTATCAAGTTTCTCTCGGGCACAATCAAATTCTCATCGTGTGATAAGTTCAACGAACAAGCGCTTTTGCTTGGAATCGGCTGGTTGATTGATTCAATTAGATGAATATGCGATCCCGGATTCAATATACAAGCAGAAAAGAACGTATGTACAGAACCGAACGTACTATGTATATATGCATGTATGTCTGGTAGTAAATTAATTCTGCTGTGCGACAGTCGTATTATGTCTGAGAAGAAAGTTCAGGTTCGTAGAGATAGGGTGATGTGATTCGCGATGATGGGTGGAACGATGTATGTATGTTTGTAGTATAACATCCGGGAAATTAATAGAGATCGGCTTTCCATATACCGATAAGCATACCCAGACGAATACTTTTTCTTTTGGGTTCAACGACTGAGAAAGTTTCACCCCTTTTCTGTTATCAAATAAGAAAAAGATAAGGAAAGATAACAGCCCAGCTCCCACCTCAACAATTATATGTTTTGCAATGATATAAGCCGGCGCGTGCCATGCGGGTTGAAATTTTGTGTTGAACCGGACACAGATATGGACATGGAAAAACGGGCTGTTTATTGTATTCAAACGATATTTCGACATTTATTGTATAAAATATTTACTTACGACTCTAGAAATGGCAACAATACACACACATAGCTTAGCAGGATGTTCACAAAAAATACGTTAGGAGAGCTCCAGTAATACAAAATGTGATTATTAGATTGGACTTTTCAATCTATCAACTTGCTAGAGACAGGCATTGCTTTGAACTGATTCTTGGATAGGCATCACAATAGGCTTCCTTCGGGGGATCAACATGGAACAAGGACCTTCATCATTTACGCTCCACAATGTGACCTAGGGACTCTCCGACGTGGATCTTCTGTCCGGCCACAATGTCGAACTTGAAATTCTTTGGCGCCTCAAAGAGTAGGACAATTGTGCTGCCCATGTTGAACTGCCCGATCAGATCACCCTTGCCCAGCTCCTTTGGCTTCTGCTCCGCGTCCAGGGCCACTTCGTCGTACTCGTAGGTGCTGGGTGGATGCTTACCCACATTGAGACCCGTCCAGCGATTGGTTTTCAGTTCAGCATCCATGTAGATCTCCACGGAGCCCACATTGGTGGCCCCCACTGCAGTGTAGCTGAAAAAGCCGTGCTTCCACTGTCCCATATAGAGGACGCGCTCGTTCAGGCAGAACAGACCCGGCAGCCAGCCGGCCACCTTGGGGCTCACGGAGAGCAGTTCTCCGGAGAAGTGACGACGCACCGTCGGCTGCCAGGCGGTTGGTGAGTGGAATCGATGGTAGTCTCCAGGAGCCAAGTAGATAACGCACTGATATAGTTCGGTGGTTCCATCGCGCTGACGTTTCAGGGCCTGCGCGTAGCTGACACCGGTCTTGGCCTCCTCCAGCGTCTGCAAGGGCCCCAGGAAGTCCTCGATGCTGTAATTCACGCCCTTCACCTGCTCGATGAGCGAGTCAGAGGCGCTACCAAAGTGCAGAACCTTTCCATCGGCAGGCGAGACGAGCGGAGCATTGGCATCGATGGTGCGGGCGCCCTCCTTCAGGGGACGCGTGAAGAACTCTGCGAGGCTGTTGTAGTGCTCGTACTCCGGATACTGGGCCTCGCTCAGATTGACATTAAATGCACTCGAGTACCAGCCATAGACGTATGGTCGCAGTGTCGTTGGCATGTAGCAGGCGGCCAGCCATCCCCAGCAGCGGCTGATGATCCGCAACGGAAGCGAGCAGTACACGCGCGACTGGAACTCCGAGGCGGTGCGTGGCGAGCCGTCACGTTCGCAGCGTTTCTTATGAAACTGCCATTCGATGGCCCCGAACACGCATATGCCCATAGGGGCCCAGCGCAGGAGGAAGCCGGTCCACCGGGAGAGCACATTGCGACGCACTTGGGCAAGGTTCTGGTTATGGTTCAGCTGCTGTTTGCGCGGTTGCGGTTGCTGCTGGGTCTGCGGCTTGAGGCGGTGCAGCGGTGCATTCCCTGACGAGGAATTCGAGGAGAAGTGACGTAAATGCCGCACCACAGGCCAGCTTCCATTTTGTTGCTGCGTAGGTTTGGCGGCTTGTAGTTGTAGTTGCTGCGGCTGGTGTGGCTGGACCACTTTTCTTAGGTTGCCGGCCTTCAGCAGGACGCGACCGCGAGGTACAAAGTAGGAAACCATTTTATTTGTAGTTGTACTTGTATTTGTAGCTTTAGTTGTTCTTGTGGCGACACAGCCACCGGCCACCGAACTGATGATTACGTATTCTTAGATATGAAAATGGCACGATGTGGAGCGCGCGTCTGTTTTGGAGGTTTAATCTGTTCGCTTTTTGGAGCACGAATCGAGTGAGTGTGTGCCCTTTAATCCAACAATGGTCTATTAATAGTTACAAAACATGCGCATACAATCCAGACCTAAGTCAAAAACAATACCGGGCCGGGGGATAACGAGAATATAATGCAGTAATGAATTTGCCAATCAAGTAGATGTGGGGTCCGTGTGTGGGTCTTCAGTACCGTACCGTGGGGCTGTTGTGGGCGAAATGAAATGAAACTTTTCCACCGCGGAAGAGACGCCAATGTGACTGCGCCTCATGTGCTTTTTCTCACCAAAACAAACGGAATTGAATGCCTCTCCGCGCTCCGTTCGGATCCGCTCTGCCTCTTATCACAAAAAACCACAATGGTGGTCAAGGCTGCCTTCTGTGTGCGTGAGTGTGAGAGGGGGGGCTGGCTGGGGCTTGCTTTGGCTTCGAGCGGAGTCAGTCTCTTTTGTGCGGAGCCGCTCTTGGTCAATGTTTTTGTTTTAAAACTGGTTTTATTCTTATTTTTATGCGCCTTCCGTCGCCCGTCAATTGTTTTTGTTTTCCAAACTGCGCCTTAATTTTGCGCTAAATTTGAAGACAGATGGCAACGCCGGCAGCAGCTGCAAACAGCTGTTTTTCTCACAAAATAATTTAAAAATATTATATGCAGAAATCGGCAAAAGGGGAACTGAAACAAACGCAACCATGAGCGAGGCGGAGAAACAGGCCGTGTCCTTCGCCTGCCAGCGCTGTCTCCAGCCCATAGTGCTGGACGAGCAACTGGAGAAGATTAGCGTCCATGCCATGGCTGAACTCTCGCGTAGGAGAAGGTATACTACTCGCAGGAACCTGTATAATCATGTCTTGCTTTTGCAGTGCCCATCTACAGGGACAATGGCAACACGCTGGACACACAGGATGCCAGCAGCTTTGACCACTTTGTGCCACCGTACAGGCTGACAGACTCCATCAACGGAACTGGCTTCATGCTCGTTTCGGATGGCCGTGATAACAAGAAGATGAGTGCTGCATTCAATCTGAAGGCAGAGCTGTTCGACTGCTTGTCCTCCAACTCGGAGATAGACCATCCCCTGTGCGAGGAGTGTGCCGACTCCATGCTAGAGATCATGGATCGAGAGCTGCGCATAGCCGAAGACGAGTGGGATGTGTACAAAACATATCTGGATGAGCTAGAGCAGCAGCGGCAGGCCCCCAATGTGGATGCCCTGGACAAGGAGCTGGACGAACTGAAGAAGAGTGAACAGCAACTGCTGTCGGAGCTGGGTAAGCTAAAGGAGGATGAACAATCACTGAACGCTGCTATAGCGCAAGAGGAGTTGGAGAAGGAGAAGCTGCACGAGCAGGAGGAGAGCTACTGGCGCGAGTACACCAAACACCGGCGTGAGCTGATGCTCACCGAGGACGACAAACGGAGCCTGGAGAGCCAGATCAGCTACTCGAAGCAGCAGCTGGACAAGCTGCGCGACACGAACATCTTCAACATCACCTTTCACATCTGGCATGCCGGGCACTTTGGCACCATCAACAACTTCCGCCTGGGCCGCCTGCCCTCCGTTTCCGTCGACTGGTCGGAGATAAATGCCGCCTGGGGGCAGACGGTGCTGCTCCTCTCCGCTCTGGCCCGCAAGATTGGCCTCACCTTTGAGCGGTATCGCGTCGTGCCGTTCGGCAATCACTCGTATGTGGAGGTGCTGGGCGAGAATCGCGAGCTGCCGCTCTACGGCAGCGGGGGATTCAAGTTTTTTTGGGATACCAAATTCGATGCGGCCATGGTGGCCTTTCTTGACTGCCTTACCCAGTTCCAGAAGGAGGTGGAGAAACGCGACACCGAATTCCTGCTGCCCTACAAAATGGAAAAGGGCAAAATCATTGACCCATCTACTGGGAATTCCTACTCAATAAAGTAAGTCCAAGGCAGGGGATTACTATGTCCTATGTTCCATACTGATTTCATTCGCTTGCTTCCAGGATACAGTTTAACTCGGAGGAACAGTGGACGAAGGCCTTAAAGTTCATGCTTACGAACCTGAAATGGGGTCTCGCCTGGGTCTCCTCGCAATTTGTGTCGCAATGATGTTTTGTCGTTTGTCCTTTATTCATCGTTTATTTATGCTATTATTCTTCTTAGTGCTTAATATTAAACCTAATTCATTCAACTTTTAATGGCTATTTTCTTCTTTGTCTCTGGCTGCTCCTCTTCGCTGTCATCTGAGTCGTCCGTGTCGGAGCCCGAGATGTCATCACCAATCCAGAGGGCTCCCTTTTTCTTCTTTGCCTTTGTCTTATCGTCGCCTGGGGTTTTGGTTTTTCTCTTGATGCCACTAACGGATGGCTGTTCCGAGGCTGATGATGCTGCCGCTGCATGCTTCTCCTTGATTTCCTCGGCCTGCTTGAGGCCCTCCTCGAAGGCGTCACTCACCTTATCCGCCAGATTGGCCCTGGCCTCCTCGTACTTTTCGTCTTTGAAGTCGTGCTTGGGCACTGCCAGAAGTTTCTCAATCTTGCGCTTCTTCCGCTCCTCCCGCTCGCGCTCCCGCTCCGCCTGCTTGCCCAGCCAGGCCCGGACGCGCTTTTCCTCGTTGATGTCGCGCAGGCGACGTCCACTCAGATCGCGACATGCCTCACGGTTCGTGGTCTTTTCGATCTGCGCCCCAATCGCACGCAGCATGGAGCCGAAACCACCCTTGCCGCCCACCTGGCGGAGGATGCAGTGGATGCTCTCATGCTGATGGCTCGAGTCGCCAGTCAAACGTTTGCCATTGCTCACGAGGTAGTAATCGTCGCGTCGCAAGTGCTGTAAAATAGAAAATGTTTATTGCAATTGCTTGTACACGTGAATTTTACAATGTATGTGGATACTCACTGTGGCCTCTTCGATTTTCGTGCATATATCATTAAAGTTAATTTCATTGTCGAAAACAATTAACTCTTTATTGTTTAACAGAATATTAATCACCATTTCTCTGCCTTTCGCCCTTCCCTTTTGGTTGTGTTGTACTTTTGCGCTTCCCTTTTGTGCTGCTGCATCTATATGCCAGAGCGTGTGTTAGAAAGAGAAAGCGTTTATCGGTGCAAATAGAGTTGCCACTTTTTCGGATTTATTTTTAAACTGACTTAAATGTGCTGAAACCTACTTGATTTCAATTGAAAAACAACTAATAAATCGAGCTACCTTTTAATCTGTTGTTATTCGACAAACAAATACAGATTTCTGACAGTTTTTAATCAATTTATGACCTTGCCGCCATTGCGTTTTTCGTTTTCAACGATCTGGCATCACGCTCTCTCACACACAAAGTGCTCATTAATTAGTTCGCATTTTTAGACGACGAAGGTAAAATTTTAGCGACGCGTTTATCGTACAATTTAATCAGTTTAACATAGCGAAAGTTGTGAAAAATTAATAAAAACCGGTAGCGGCTAATATTGTCTGATGAGTGTTGAGTGTTTAAATAGCGCAGAGCTAGTAAAATGCGGTAAATTTACAACCGCAGCCACGTCACAGAGAGCATATAAAAATATGAGAGAGCGGATTTTGAAAACGAATCCCAAATTCTAGGCAGCGTCGAACAATGGGTAGGACAGGCCAGCGGTGGCGGCGGCGGCAGTGGCGGTGGTGGTGGTAGTTGTGTTAATGTTAATCCTAGCTTTCGGCATCGTCGAAGGGAAGGGGAACGGGAACGCTAGCATAAAAGATGGCAGCACGGAATTGAACAAGATATGTACATTGCATGCGTGTGTGTGTGTGTGTGCATACACACATAAGTATAGATGGAAGCGGAAAGCAGAAAAAGCAAAGAAAAATCCCCAATTCGAGCTGCATATTGGTATTGGTTTAAATGTTCAATAACCAAAACCGAAAAAAAGAAGAAAAGTGGCAACTCATGTGAGCAAAAGGCAAACAAGAAGACCAGCGCAAGACGCCTTTTTGTGTGTGTGTGGTGTGCGAAAAACGACGAAACGAGTAAAATAAGCGTATAAAAATGAGCAACAAAAACCCACCCGCCGCCGCCGCCGTTCCGTTCCGCTCCCTACATCTGCAAGGGGCTGTGACTTTGACTGACATTTTCTAGCGGCGCCTGAAGAAATCAAATCAAAATCAAGTTTAGTGCCATGCAAATTCAAATTTTATTTCGATTTCGACTTGATTCGACCGAAAGAAATTAATCTCGAAATCTATTTCGGCAATGCTGCCGAACTGCCGCCGCTGCCCTGGCCGGTTTCGGTTTCGCAAATTTCCCACCTCTTTCTCCATGTTTTCCATTATGTATTTTGTTATCGACGGTCATTCATCCTCTCCTCTAGTTTTCATTTTGTCTTCGCCCTCTTTCGTGTCTCTGTGTGCGTGTGCGCCAGTGTGCTACATTGCGTTTGCTCCCGGAAAAAGTTTAGTTCCCGATACCGCTCACGAAATGGTGTATATTATTTTTTTGTATATTAAATATAAAATAGATTTTTCGCCGTGGACTGCAATTTTAAGACCGACCGATTGACATTTGCTTTGTTAAATTGCGAGGAAACGGATCTTGGGCCCGTCCCTCTCTCTCTTTAGTTCTTTCTGTGCGTGTGTGTGTGTGTGTGTGAGTTTTGAGAGAGGGTGCGCACGTGTGTGCGTGCCCCTGCACTGCTTTGCCGCCAGGCCAGCAGCAGCAGCTAGTCGGCTCTTTGTTCCCTACAGCCTACAGAGAGAAAGAGAAGACCGATAGACAGACAGACGGACGTACGGACGGAGCGAGCGAGCGAGCGAGCGGGCGACCACTTATCCATATCATTTGCCTACCTAATTCCAAATGAAATGTAACATTTGCCGATCATGTGCTATGTCCACCGGACTGTAGACCTTGTCCTATATACCTATAAGTTATATGTATATCATAAATATAACTAACCGAAAACTATGTACTTTCTTCTCCCCTCTCTTTTTTGTTCTTCCTTACAGCAGCGATTCCAGTGTTCAGCTTCGAAACCCAACAGAAACACTCTTAACCTGCGAGAACTTTCATAGCAAACTAATTTTTGTACCAGAAACCCCCTGATACGATCCCGAAAACCCGAACTCCTACCACAACAGCAGCGTTACCGGCATTGAACAAAGAAAAATTAAGTTAATTTTCTACACTAACATAAATAGTATTCATATACATTTATACAATTCGTGTGTATTGAAGGGAAAACAACCAGAACAACAACAACAATTTATTATGCCAATCCTATAGATTGAGAGACAAGAGAGAATTCAACTTAAAGGTTAACGGGAACCCCGACACCGCATCCACATCCTCCTTCCTCCCTTCCAAAGAGAAGAAGAGCAAAAAGAAGAGATATAATAACATAAAATTGTATATTCCAAAACACTCCATTAGCGAATAGTTAGGACAGATATATTTATAAATATATACAACAACAACAAAATAGAAGTTACAAAAAAATTTTGCAAACATTAGGCCACGAGATTTAGGAGAAAAGTAAAGAAAAGAAAAGCAATAAACGACGAACCTCAGCGTTAAATCATAAAGATCTACTATTATCATAAATATCTAGATACGTATATAATATAATATACAAAAAAGCAAACAAACGAAGCCAATCGGGCCACAACGGGTCATAATCGTAGTAATCGAAGTATTCAGAATTGTAGCAAAGTTTTCGTAGTCCTTTAGCAGCCTCTCCCTCCCTACCATATATAAGGAATATATATTCGTATATATATATTGCGTGTGTGCATTGGATTTTTATATATACACAGAACATTTAGAATCGAGAGTAGATAGGGATCTTCTGAATCAAGTAAATTATTTTTGATATCGATTTTTGTAATTGATTGATGCGCATCATCGCGTAGAGAAAGTGTAGAATATATAGCCTTATCGCGCATATCGATCGGAGCAGCAAGACAGCCATGGACGAGTCACAGCCGAAAACGTTGTATGTGGGAAACCTCGATAGCTCCGTCTCCGAGGAGCTTCTCATCGCATTGTTCGGCACAATGGGTGCCGTAAAGAACTGTAAAATCATACGGGAACCGGGCAACGATCCGTATGCCTTCATCGAATATTCCAACTATCAGGCAGCCTCCACAGCCCTGACCGCCATGAACAAACGCCTCTTTCTGGAAAAGGAAATCAAGGTGCGTCCAGATCGGAGCGATATACTCGCTCCATCACTTACCTTACTAAATCTCTCTCCATTTGTATTTGTATTTCTGTAGGTTAACTGGGCCACTAGTCCCGGGAATCAGCCCAAGACAGACATTAGCTCCCATCACCACATATTCGTTGGGGATCTGAGTCCCGAAATCGAAACGGAGACGCTGCGCGAAGCCTTTGCACCATTCGGAGAGATCTCCAACTGTCGGATTGTCCGCGATCCACAGACCATGAAGTCCAAGGGCTATGCTTTCGTTTCGTTTGTAAAGAAGGCTGAAGCCGAGAATGCAATACAGGCAATGAATGGCCAATGGATTGGCTCGCGTTCGATACGCACCAATTGGTCCACGCGCAAGCTCCCACCACCGCGAGAATCGTCCAAGGGTGGCGGCCTGGGCGGTGGCATGGGTGGCGGACCCGGGAATGGAGGCGGCGTCAAGAGCAACCAGCGGCACACCTTCGATGAGGTGTACAATCAGTCGAGCCCCACCAACACTACAGTCTACTGTGGCGGCTTTCCGCCGAATGTCATCAGCGACGACCTGATGCACAAGCACTTTGGCCAGTTTGGGCCCATTCAGGATGTGCGTGTCTTCAAGGACAAGGGCTTTGCGTTCATTAAATTCGTGACCAAGGACTCGGCGGCGCACGCTATCGAGCATACGCACAACACCGAAGTTCATGGCAATCTGGTCAAATGCTTCTGGGGCAAGGAGAATGGAGGTGATAACTCAATGAACAACATGAATGCCGCTGCAGCGGCAGCAGCCTCTGCCAATGTGGCCGCCGTGGCAGCCGCCAATGCGGCGGTCAGTGCCGCATTGCCCGGCCAAATGATGACCCAGCAACAGCTAGCAGCGGCCACTGGGGCCGCGTTACCCGGCCAAATGATGACGCCTCAACAGCTGGCAGCCGCCACAGCGGCGCAGTACCCATACGCCTATCAGCAGATGGGCTACTGGTATCCTCCGGCAGTAAGTTACATTTATTAGATATTTTTTTGCTAAATGGGCTTTAAATGTTCTCTCCCCCACAAAAACCAGCAGGCTTATCCAACCACCCAAATGCAGACGCAGTATATGCAGCAGGGCTACTATCCTTACGCTTACACGACCAGTGCCCAGCAGGCGGGAGGAGTCCGTAAGTAGAGTCGCGTTACTTACCCCTCCTTTGAGGTTAATCGTTGAATGATCTTTCCAGCTGCCGGGTATCGCATGGTGCCACCGAATGTGGCATGGGGTGTACCCGGTACTGTTGTCCCAGGCATGTCGGCGGCCTCGTCTGCGGCCGCAGCAGCAAATGGTTCACTTGCCCCCCAAATGATGTACAGTGCCGCGATGCCACAATATCAGACCCAATGAACTGAGTTGTGACGCCCGCTTCGACGCCGTCTGCAACATCCGTGGAGCCGCTGCATCCAAGAACGTCTGCCGCCAGCAGCAGTGCAGTCTCAATCGGAGTCGCAGTCGCAGCTGCAGCTGCTAGCGCATTACGCACCCTTAGCTTACTTAGAATACCAGGTCCTTGCCAAAACCGAGCAGCAGCAGCCGCAGCAGCATCCGTCGTATCATCCTCTGCCAGTCCCTAACGATGAGGGCAACAGCAACAACATCCTGTCAACGAGCCTCTTTTTCGCGGCAGCAGGGGATTAGGGATATAGGATTTTCGATTTTCAGTTGCGGTTGCAGGCTACGTTTTTGTTTTGAGACCTGTGCGTCATTGTTGCGGTCGATCGGACGGGGCGGGGCGGGACAGGCGCGTACGTGCGTTACGGTCGTGGAGGGCCCTTCCATCACACCCCCACACGCGGAGGCCGACGGCCGAACCGAACCGAAGCAAAGCGTGGAACTAAAAGTTGAACCACGCGCGGTGACAAGCGACAAGCGACAGGCGAGCAGGCAGACGGGCAGACGGGCAGACAGACAGACAGACATACAGACATACAAACAGATAGACAGACAACTGAAGCTCTGGGCGATTTCGGGGGGTAGCTGTAACAATCTAATCCAATCTAAGTACGTGTTAAAATAATTTAATGATTTGTAATTTAAGGCAGATATAGGCGTATAAACGAATGCGGAAACAAAAATAAACAAATGAGAAATACAACAACAAACCAACAAATAGGCAACAACAAATTGGTTTAAATAAACATATATACAATCGAAATGGAATAAAGTGACAAAGCAAATTGTAATTGTAACTAAATTGTGGATCATATGATGTGTCAACGAAGGATTTCGAAGGAGGAGTACATAGTAGGATGGAAGCGTGGCAAGTAGCAGTGGAGGAGCCGAGGCGAGAGCCACACCACACACACATCGGTGGAGTCGAAAAGTAAAAAAAAAACGCAAAAACAAATTCTAGACACTTAAGAGAATGTAAATTCGAGCAAACAAACATACATATTGTAATTGTATATTTCCAATGTGGAAAAACGAAATGCGATATAAATATGTAATTGTAAAATAAAGAAACAAAAAAATATATAAAACGAAGTGAGAAAAACCACAGAGAACGACGAGTGTGTGTCTAAATTAACTCTTGGCTCCATCATCATCATACATTGGGTCTAGTCTACTACAAAAAGATTGTAAAATTACAATAATTACCCATGCTCGGATCTATAAAGAAGAGTTAGATGTTCCAACTGAAAACCAGGAGAATACCACAGAGAGATAGCGGGGATCGAACTACTATATTCTATAGGTTAAAGTTCCATTAAGTTCTAAATGAAATTAGACAGTTCTTGGGAGATATCTATGATGTGTTTTCGATCTTTGAGATCCATGGGCTGCTACTATTTTCAGATTCTAAAAGTTTTAATTAAAGTCTTAAATGATATAATATAGTTTTTGATGGAAATACTTAGTCGGCGAATGAAGTTTAAATTGGATGGGATTATATGGAATTACATGAGCCGTTTTAGGGTCTTATTAGTTATAGTTTTCCTTGATCATTAGTCTAAAATCTGTCTTTCCTGCATGCACTGTACGCGACCTGTTCGGTTAAGCGTCATATGGCAGCGTCCCTTTGGCTGTTCGGCTGAAGGTTCTGCCAACGTTCCAATTGAATTGTAATGCTGATCTGCGGTCTTCTTTATACAAAATTGCATAAGATCCCTCTTAAATCTATACCAGAAAAGATTTTACTGAGGGTTTTTGTTGACAGTCTATGATTGTAGGACATCTGATTCTGATGAGACATCATTGAAAACTGATATTTGATCTATAAAGAAGATATTCCCTAAAAACAGAATCGGACGAGATTCTATAACAACTAATTTGAGGAAAAATTCCAAGTTTAAAAGTAAAATTTCTTACTAAGCTAAGACTTTCCATCTATATATAAGGACTATCATCAGATATTGTTTAGGCTAGAGCTAAAACAAATTTTAGAATAAATTTAAAAGTTAAGTTTTGATTTGGTTATATGTGAGTCCCAGAAAAAGGTGCAGTCTCCTGATGATGTCTGTTGAAATCGATTTTATTTAGCGTATTCTATATATGTATATAGAGTATGTATTTATATGCATGTAATTTTGTTGGATCTGTGTGTTCAGTAAACTACTCTTTAAACTGAAGTTCTGTTGGCTGCATTAAAGCTGATTCAAAATACCGCGAAAAGCATCCGATTGTACAATATATATAGTAGGGGTGTGTAGAGTGTGGGAGGAGGAGCAACTTCTAGGTACAACAAACATTAAGATTAATCTATAGATGGTTTTTCGGAGACACGATTGTATTTATGACTGCTGCAGTAGGTAGGTACATACATTGATTGATTGAAAACAGAGGAACCAAAACTAAAACTAAAACTAAACACCAGCCATCCATCGATCGATAGAGGGAGAGAGTAGTGTGTGATGATGCCGCATTTAAAACTTAAGTCTGATCCTGCGTTTTGTGTTGTGTTTAATCTTAAGGCTATGCTTATGTCTAGATTACGTGTAGCGTATGTTTTCGATTGAATTGGGCGATGTACAACAAAAATAGTAGATTGGTTCTATTGATTCAAGGATACAAATGGAAGAAACTTGTGACACAGAGAAATCAATGGAAATACATTTACTTAGAACTAAATTAAATGTTAGGAAAGCCATACCATACATGAACAGAACACCTTGCTGTCTTAGTACTAGAAACATTGGAAACAAAGTTATGCAAACAAATGCTAGTATAATGATTGTTCTTAGGCATACATTAGCTTTTAAATGATTATAACTTAAATGGGGTGTGGGGCGCTCGCTCGCTTTAAAAACATTTGGAAGTACATGGTAAATACAATAAATCTTAGGCCTAGAAACACAAATTGCATGGTAGAACGAGAAATTAATCAATAATTCATTGGTTAAATACAAATAACAAAGTTTTGTGAAACAAAATGTAAGCCTACAAAAACTAATGGTTGAATGGAACGTAGTTTAAAACTTGAGGATCAATGGAATGATCATCGAAACTAATGCAACAGCAAAAGGAGAAGAAATTACTGTCACTCACATCACAGCGTGGAGCAGGGCTGGGCAGGATCTTGGTGGCGAGGCTGACAATCCTTCAATGATTGGATCGACGCCTATCTAAATGGTAATGTCCCCATAGTCTGACGACCATTTCTCATACAAGCTGAGGCTCTGCGGTGCCACCGAGCGGCGAATGCGCTTGAGAGAGTTGTGGAAATCCTTTTCTGTGATGTGTCGCATGGCGTTAATGTCCAGACACTTGACCTGCTCCACATTCAGCTCGCGTATGGGCTCCAGAGCGGCATCCTTGGCCAGTGCCGTCAAATCGGAACCAGAATAACCGTCCGTGATCTTGGACAAACGCCGCAGTGCATCCGTATCCAGCGGCGAGCCCTGCTTTTGCAGCAAACGGTTCAAGAGCAGCTCACGGGTCTGCTCGTCGGGCAGTGAGACATAGACGCGCTTCGTGAAGCGTCGCAGTGCGGCCTCGTCCAGCTCCTGGGGCCTATTTGTGGCGGCCAGCACCACAATGCGATCGCCATCGGGATTACCTGGCAGACCATCAAACTCCACAAGAAATTCGGTCTTCAGGCGGCGCGACGCCTCGTGCTCGCCGCTGCTACGCTCCGAGAGCAGCGAGTCCACCTCATCGATGAATATGATCGAGGGCTGCAAGTGGCGTGCCACCGCGAACAAAGCACGCACCAGTTTCTCGCCATCGCCCACATATTTGCTGGTCAGCGAAGCAGCCGAGATGTTCAGAAAGGTGGCACTACATTCGGTGGCCACGGCACGGGCTAGCAATGTCTTGCCATTGCCTGGGGGACCGAAAAGCAACAGACCCTTGGCTGGGGCTCGCAAACCTACACTCAAAGAGGCGAGAAAGGATATCAAACACGACTCTTTAAAGGGATTCCTGTACCGTCCACTTACCTGTAAAGAGCTCTGGACGAACGGAGGGCAGTATGACCATCTCTTGTAGCGCCTGCTTGGCGACCTCCTGGCCGGCAATGTCTGTCCACTCCACCTTAGCACCGCCCTCCACAATCTCATCGAGTATGAGCTGGACCAGCTTCTGTTCTACACCCTTGACAGTCACCACGGGAGTGCTAGCGCCACTACCACTGCCGCTGGCCCCATTATTGTTGATGGGCGTGCGTGATCGCTGTGGCGGTGTATTGCGACCGGAAGACTATGGAAAGAAGAGTACAAATTATAGAAAGATCTGTCAAGAAACCAAACGTTATTCCGGCTTGAGCCACTTACAAACTGTCGACGCACGGCTGGGGGCGTGGCTGCGGTCTTGCCTGGCTGACGAACAGCCCCCACGGAGGTCTTTGAGCCAAGATTGCGTGGCAGAGTTTGTGACTTGTTGGCTGCCACGGCCAGGTTGCCAGGTCGCTTGGTTCCGATTGTCAGCTTGCGGCCAGAGGCTATGGAGATACGGGGGGGAGCACATTAATAAGCGATAGATGGATATGATCGGTCTAAGCTACAATTTGGGGGCAAGCATAAAACAATAGTGAAGCGAAACGAAATCAAGTGCAAGGTGAGAGGGTGACTGATAGATAGCTCGATCTGTTGTCGCTGTGTCGCTGGTTCTGGCGTTGGTGCTGGGCTCTTTTCAGGCCTGGACTGCAACAGAACTTACCCAATGACGACGACGACGTCGGTGTTGTGGCTGTGGCAAAGATTCTGGGTGTAGTCAGACCGTTCTTTGGTCCATAGCCGCTGCTGCGTGTCTTCAGCTTTGCAGGATCATTGGTGAGATTCGTCAGCATTGGCTTATCTGCCGCTTCTCTGGCCTTCTGTGGCTTCTGCTGCTGCTCCCGGCTTTCATTCGCTTTCTGTTTCTCCTTTAGCGAGAGACGATGCATTTGGAAATCTTCCTCACGCAGCGCTGTGGCAGCGACAATTGATGGACAAACGCAAAAGGAAATGCAGGACAAACAACAAAGTGCAAATAAAAAACAACAGAAAAATAAAAAAAAATAATAAAATAAAAATCATTCCTCTAGGGTTTCCGGATGCGGGGGGATCGACTTACCGAGGAAGTGAAGACGATCCCTGGCCATCGAGAGATTGGTCTGCATTTTATCGTGCAGCCTTTGGGCACGGTCCCAGACATCGCCGCGACCACTCCAGCAATCGACGGCAATGCCATCCTCGAGCTCCTTGATTCCCTTGCGGTACAGCTCAATGGCCAGCTCTTTGTGACCTGGAGGCGGAAGAAAAAGGAAACAATTGTCAGAACATCTCACTCTTTGCTTCTTGTGATTATTGATTCCCACTCGACAGACAACAAAAGGTACACACACACACACAAGCACGGACTAAAGAGACGAACAGCCGCCGCCAGCTAGTGGGGCGATGACTCATAGAGAGCACTCGAAAGCACCCCCAACACTGCACGCTCAATGCTCCCTGCTCACTGCTCACTGCTCACCTTCATTCTCTTCGTCTATCTTGAGCGCCTTGGAGATGTACTCGAACGCCCGACGATGGTGATGCTTCTGCTTGGCCAACAAAGGATCCCCAGGACCGGGGGAGTAGCCTGACCCAGATCGATTGGCCCCTGCCATTTCCAGGGGCTGGAGGGCGCGATAGCGTTGCTGTGGCAGAGGTTGCTGTACTTGCTGCTCGGACGCTGCCTCGCCGCTGGTCACCTCCAAGGGATAGTTGAGGGACTGACTCGACGTCAGCTGCTGGTGCTTCTGATCCTTGTTATTTGAGTTGTTCTGGACAACAATCTCGATGTTGCAGTCGCGTCTGTGGGGACGGTAAATAACCTTTGTGCTGGCGCCGTACAGGTAGCGAAAAATGCAGAACAGCTGATAAATCAGCGAGCGAAGAACGTTGAATAGGAATATAATGGGAAATGAAACGACGTAGAGGTTCTGCTTGTGCACAGAGGAGGGGCCGCCGGCGCTTCTTGGCGCGCTCGTAGATGTTGGGGTCAGATCATCGGTGGTAGTGGTGTCGTCGTCTCCGTCTCCGTCCGGCGAGCTGCCCGGAGTTGTGCGGCGGTTCGAGGAGGATGACACGTTCGTGGCGGACTTGCGGTCATCGATCGATGTCCGATGCGACGACGACGACCTGCTCACGGGGTGTCCTGCTGTTCCTGCGGCTGCTGATCCGCTGCCGCCGTGCGATTTGATTGGAGATTTGTGGCTGCTGCTGCTGGCGCTGGAGGAGGAGGACTGGTTTTTGGTGCGTACCATCGATATCGATTCCGCGCCGCAGCACGCTAACGCTTTGACCCCCACTCACTCCGTTTGCCTCTGCTCCTACTCCACCTTCTCCACCCCCGACGACGTACGTGCAAGCTTATGCGAAGGATTCCTATTGGGGCACACTCACACTCGCGAGCCTGGAAACGCGACACTGGCACGTTTTCAAACTATGACATAAATAAACAATTTTTAAACTTATTGCGCTCTACTATTTGTTGTTTGTTGTTGCTATTTTCTGATATTTATTTTTCTCTCCGACGAAAATTGTGCTCGATATGTTACATGTCACCCCCGTTCACCGTTCACATTCCTGTTCCAATTTCACAGTTTCACAGTTCACAATGGCTGGAGGGGCTGGGGGCAGGGCTGTCGATTTTCCCGTCAGATCTGGCTTTTTTAAAAGCCAACTGCTGGAAAAACTTGTGAATAGCGGGAAGCGCGAAATCTAAGTTTTTAATCATTATTAACACTTTATTATATGTTTTATGAACATTTTAGACGTTTTTTATGTTTTCAAGATTAAAAAAAGGTTTTTATACCGTTTAAAATTACTCACTGTGCTCCATTTTGGCTCCAAACTGACGTAGCTGCCAGACTGTTTGACTGATTTGAGTTTCCCTCAAAAAATAATCAGTTAAAAGTTGTCTGTTTTTAATTCTAGATAGCAGCGTTTGCTTTTATAACACTTTTAAAATTAGTAAGTAAGTCAATTTTTAGTTTAAATTTGCATTGGATCTGATTCGCTTGATCAGGCAACTGTGGATTTTGCAGGGTTGCCTTGCAGCCCAATTTCGATAACAATCGATTGATAAAAACAGCTGCATCTCCATTTTTGCATAACAAATCAAAGAAATTAAGTAATTTATTGACCAGCGACTACAAGAAGTAGCATAAGAAGCGGGAAACGTCCAGGCTAAGGCAAGCGCAGCACACACATTGAGAGAAGGGCAGAAATTCGTGTGTTTCGATTGTAGGAATGGGCCAGTACACAGTGTCAACGCGAAAGAATGTACGAATATTGCTGGTCGGCGATGCCGGGGTGGGCAAAACGTCCCTAATATTGTCGCTGGTGAGCGAGGAGTATCCGGAGGAGGTGCCGCCGCGTGCCGAGGAGATCACAATCCCGGCCAATGTCACGCCCGAGCAGGTGCCCACTAGCATAGTGGACTTTTCGAGCGTCGAACAGACGGAGGAAACCCTCGGCCTGGAGATAAACAAAGCACATGTAGTGTGCATTGTGTACGCAGTGGATGACGATGACTCCCTGGATCGCATCACCTCGCACTGGCTGCCGTTAATACGTTCAAAGTGCAATGCGACACTGGAGGGCGATGCCGAGACTGAGGCGGAGACAGAGGCTGCCGGCGAAGGTCTGCGCAAGCCAATTGTTCTGGTGGGCAATAAGATCGATTTGATCGATTACTCAACGATGGACAGTGTGCTGGCCATCATGGAGGACTTTCCAGAGATTGAGAGCTGTGTTGAGTGCTCGGCCAAGACGTTGCACAACATTTCCGAAATGTTTTACTACGCACAGAAGGCGGTGCTGCATCCCACATCGCCCCTCTACATGATGGAAGACCAAGAGGTGAGTTCATTGTTCAAACACACTAAACATCACTTCACACTTTTGCTTGCCCCCTGCAGCTGACGCCCGCCTGCAAGAAGTCGCTGGTGCGCATTTTCAAGATATGCGATATCGATGGCGACAATCTGCTGAATGATTACGAGCTGAACCTATTCCAACGGCGCTGCTTCAACACACCGCTGCAGCCGCAGATACTCGACGAGGTGAAGGCCGTCATACAGAAGAACGTGGCCGATGGCATCTACAACGATGCCGTGACGCTCAAGGGCTTCCTATTCCTCCACTGTCTGTTCATACAGCGTGGACGCAACGAGACCACCTGGGCCGTGCTACGACGCTTTGGCTACAACGATCAATTGGAGATGTGCCAGGAGTATTTGCGGCCGCCGCTAAAGATTCCCCCAGGCAGCAGCACAGAGCTCTCGCATCGCGGCCAGCAGTTTTTGATTTCCGTCTTTGAGCGGTACGATCGCGACTGTGACGGTGCTTTGTCGCCCGAGGAGCACAAAATGCTGTTCAGCGTGTGTCCATCGTCGCCTTGGTCGTACTCCACGGACATACGCAAGTCATGTCCCATCAATGACAAGGGTTGGGTCACTTTGCATGGCTGGCTGTGCCGTTGGACTCTGATGACGCTAATCGATGTGGTCAAGACCATGGAATACCTCGCCTATCTGGGCTTCAATGTCCACGAGAACGACAGTCAGCTGGCGGCCATTCATGTGACACGCGAACGTCGCATCGATCTGGCCAAGCGGCAGAGCAGCCGTTCCGTTTACAAGTGTCACGTCATCGGCCCCAATGGTTCGGGCAAGACGGGTCTGTGTCGCGGATTTCTCGTCGACGAGATGCAGAAACTGATTGGCAAGGAATTCAAAACGAATATCGTGCACTGCATCAACTCGGTTCAGGTGTATGGCCAGGAGAAGCACTTGATATTGCGCGACATCGATGTGAGGCATGCTCTGGATCCGCTGCAGCCGCAGGAGGTCAACTGTGATGTGGCCTGCCTCGTCTACGACTCGTCCAATCCTCGTTCCTTTGAGTATGTGGCCCGCATCTACATCAAGTACTATGCGGAGGGCAAGATCCCAGTGATGATTGTGGGCACCAAGTGCGACATGGATGAGCGCCGTCAGGACTATCTCATGCAGCCCGCCGACTTTTGTGCGAAATACAAACTCCTACCGCCGCATCTCTTCAGCCTAAGGACTAACAAAAAGGAACTGTACACAAAACTTGCCACCATGGCCGCTTTTCCGTGAGTATTTTCCTAAGGAACTAAGGGTGATGTGATGATCTTTGCTTTTATCGTTGAATGTTTTTGGGGATCAGATCTAACCCAAAACACACATACATCTCACCTCAAACGAACACTAACGAATGCCCTGAGTGGGTGGTCTATTACCGCAGTTCCACTGGCAGGATTGGCAATCCCATACGAAATCGCATTACATCGAATGGTATATTTGAAATGTTCGTGGCGAGCGCTTTCTCTTAGGCGAAATTTGCACGTAAATCTGAATCTGATCTAGTGGAACGGGGGTATCAGGCCACTCCATCGGGAAACACATTGGTAACATTTGGGTTAACATTTATAGATTAAATGGCTAATGGCTTATATTTTTATCTTCTCTTCTCCTCCTCCCTCCCACTTTGTGTATATATATATTTTGGTTATGTTTCACTGTTGTTCTCGTGTGTTGTTCGATGTTTGTCTTCTTGGAATACGATTCTTCGTGGCTTCGGCGATGGCTGTGGTGGCTTTGGTGGCGTCTGAAGGCGATTCCAAGACGCCTGGATACTGTTCTACAAGCACAGGTTGGTACAGCTTTGGGAGTCGGCGTAAGTGTTTACTATTCAAACTGAATTTGTTACTAATATCAGCCCTCTGTGTTGTTGTTGTTTCCATATATGTACTATATCTGCCATGGTGCCCACAAATCGAGATCCACATATATAAGATCCCCGATCATGTCACTGCTTACTAAAACATGGTGTTTGCGGCCTGTAGTTTAAAACCTACTTTAATCTTTGTTGTTCCTTGCCTTTTCCGCTGTTTTATCCAACTAATCTAAAGCCCTTTTCTCTTGTCCTGCCACAGACACTTGCGGCATTTCGGACTCTTGACGGAGGATAGCAAGCTGCTGTGGAAGGCCGGTCTGGGCGTTGCAGCTGCCACAATGCTCGGTTTCATTGTGCTGAAGACCCTCAGTGCTGCCGGCTCGCATTCGCGCTAGAAGGAGGCCAGGCAAAAACCACACAGGACACATTAAGAAACTGCGCAAAATACACAGCCCCACACACAAAGAAAAACCGACACAAAAGGAGTTCAATGTTTAATGAAATTTATGTTAAATCCAAATTTATTGTTACGTACCAATGAAGAATAGTGGCACTAAACGATGAAAGGTTTTGGTTTCCTGACATGTAAATACACTTTTGAGAGCCAGGAGACGCCTGCAGGGAAGAGAGAGCCAGAAGACGCCTCCAGGATAGAGATTCCAGGAGCAGACTCTTAAGGCCAGCATTTCTTAATATCTTTATATATCCCATTACTTAAACCCATGTACTACTCTCCCTCGCGCTCTACTGATTTAAGTCTTATAAGTTATCGCGTCCCCCAAGCACACACACTTTGTGCATATCTGAAGATATACATAGTTATACAATTAGTTATCTATGGGTTCTACTATATATAAATATAGATATTTATCGCACTGTTGTATATACGCGCAAACAAACGAGCAATAAATGTATCCAAAATATGTGTATATTCGACAAAGACTACAAAGTACTACAAGGATATTGCAACAGCAACAAATTCCGTTTCAGTCTTCGTTCAATGCTTCGGGGTAAAGGCGCGCTGCGTACATTTACTGGGCTATACTTTGCCTTTGACAGAGGAGCGTTGCAGTTCGCTTCTGACCGCCGCAGCTAAGTTTGTCCTAGTCGGTCCCAAGAGTCCAATAACAAAATACACAGTCTTTGTCTCTTTGTGGGAAGTGAAATACTCAGCCATTAATATTTAAACCCTTAAAATGGAAAAGAATTCAAATGCGATCCATTAAATATATATATTCTTGATCGGCATGAATTGGGAAGCTATATAGCGAAAAAATGAAAAGTACTCTCTCCCAGTGTCGCTTAAACGCAAAGGTTGGATAGAACAAGTGAGACAGAGAGGTTTATCGATCGTCGAAAGACTGGTTAGGATCTACATTTATTAGTCAAGGGTAAGCTTCCTTGCTTAAGGGTTATCTTAATGTTAGGTGATCTTATTCTTTAATTTTAGTTTTGAATGCCATTAATGCTGGCCGCTGCATTGGCTGCCGCTGCAGGGGACATGCAATTGCCATCGGGATAGCGCTTCTGGAATTGCGTGATCAACTCGGGATCGACCAGGCGAATGCCATCCAATTGATTGCCCAGCGTTATCCAATTCGGTTGGATGTTGTGCGGGCGGCCGAAGAGCTCGATTTTGCGAGTGCCCGGACTGAGGCGCTCAATAATGCCATAGATCTCGTCTGGCTTGTGGGAGGTGGCGCGCACTTCGGCGACAATTACATCGCAGTCGAGACCGCGATTCAGGTTGGTGGGATTGCCCTTCATGCCCACCAGGCAGTGCTCCTTGCCGTGATTCAGCCAGTGGCCGGTGCGTCCAGTGCGGATGATGCGCTGCAGCTGGTTCGTCTTCACCCAAATGAGTTCGTCCACCCGCTCGTAGCCCCAGAGCTTGAGGCAGTCGCGGCCCAGCTCCATGGCACGCCCCGTCACCCAAAGGAAGATCAGGCCATCGTCCTGGAGCGCGGGCACACCCAAGGCACGCATCTCGTCATCAGACATGGTCCCATACGGCAACTCCATGTGTATGTCCCAGGGGGGATCGGCCATTACCACCGCGAATTTGCCAAGGACCGTCATGTCGAGGAACCGCAGATCGCATTGGATCCACTGTGGTGGGTACAGGGTGCAGCTCGGATCGATGCTGCGCTTCAGGCTGAGCTTCGTCTTCACGTCGGTGGGTTTGTTCGTGTTAATGTGCGGCAGGGTGTCCACCTCGTAGTGCACGTACTTGCAGGTGGCCATGTGGAAGCAGGTGTTCAAGAAGCTGCAGTCCCCCAGGGACTCGTCCGTGTGCGCCTGAATGATCTTCTTGAAATGGAGCTTTGTGCACTTGTCGCGTGTCTCGCCGGAGGCATCGCTGCCATCGGTGGACTCTTGGGATTCCCCCTCGCAATTGGTCAGCGTTTCGGATATGACTTCGCCATCTTCCGATGTGGTTTCCAGGGGGGTGCCAGGCTTAGCCGGCTTTGTGCTGTTCGCTTTCCCCGCGTCCTCTCTCCTTAGTGCCTGCTCGTCCAGGCGTTCCTGTTTCTTTTTGGCCGCCATTTCTGCGGTGGCCTGCTGCGCCTTGAGGCACTCCACTTTGGTGCCATGGGAGCAGAACTCCATGACCTGTGCTCCGCCATGGGACTTGAATTTCTCTGCGACGGATCGCTCTTTGGCCGTTGGTTTTGTCAGCAGTTCTAGAATCTCCTCGCCCACCTGTTTGCTCTGCTTCTCGCGAGTGGAGGGCATCGACAGCAGCATCATTATGTCATTGGGGGCATCCTTGTGGGAGGAACAATCGATCTTCATGGTTTTTTCCAGCGGTTGGATATCCTCTTCGGCATCCACAAGCTCTGCCACTGGAAAAGGAGTGGATTGTAGATCGAAGGCTTGTTTAAAGCTGTATGGACGGACTCACACTTTCGTTTAGCCTCCTCCTCCTTCTGCAGACAGGTGTCGTTAATGTCCTCAAGAATCTCCTTTAGCTCCTTGGGCTGCACCGAAATGATTTCACAGCCCGCTTCTGTGCCAATGGTTACATTTCGGATGGAAATGGCGCCCTGGTTGGCTAATTTTCCCAAAATAAAGTTGACCATTTCGAGGCTGCTGCCGGCAGCAGCGACCTTTTCCATCACCTGCGTCGAAACGATGGGCAGAGCCAAGGAGCACGCACTCAATGCCTGCAGCACCTCCTTCTGCACCTCCAGGTCAGCTTCAACTGCAAAATATATAGGGATAAAATAATAATTACAGCCTCTTAAAAGCGATTTCCTACCGAGCTCTTTTTTTGGATTTGTTTGATCCTCCTGTATATCGGACAGTATCTCGATCCGCTCCTTTTTCCGCTTCTCCAGCTTCTCGCGAAGGGTGTTCCGCTTCGTCTTGAGTGTTTTTATATCCCACGCATCAGCCATTGTTTAATAATTTAATTTTTGCGGCAGATGTAAACAAAAGTTAAATTAACTGCAGATGGTTCGCTTTGTTGCTATCGCTCACGCACCCATCCCTAAACAATTGTGTATCGAAAAATAGCCGCCACTGCTGCGCAACAACAAACGTACACCATTCACAAATATGTTAATTGTTATTGACCTTATTTTAGACACAATCCAATGAAAAGAAGTCTTTAAACTACCCAATCCTGTTAAAAATTAATTCATCAGTCGGATAAAATTATATGTTTAATGCTGAGGGTCTTATCTAGCTAGTAATTTTAGGCCGAACATCAAAATCGAGGAATATGATTTCCGATCGTGGACAAAGAACGATTAACCCATTGTCGACCGATACACTAATATATCCCACAAAAAATAATTAAGCTTCAAGAATTATAACTCAGTTAAGGTGAAATATGCCATGTTTATTTTTTTTAATTTGAAAGAAAGGATAGGGTGGATCTGCTATTTCCACGGTCTAACCACTAACCATACAGTATATATACGGTCTAACTCAAGTTGCTAACCTCTTAAAATAAAAGGGGGTTAAGTGGGCTAAAAAGATTCTATCATCGGTATATTTCTGAGGGTCTTATCGATAGTCCCGCTAGATATAAAACGTGTTGATTTTCATAAAATAAATAATTAATGATATACGTAAACAAATGGTGCCGCTTCGCCAATTGTAAATATTTTATGAATATATCACTGTGAGAGAGAAAGGGAGAGAGAGAGAGGGAGTCGTTCAGTGTATCTTGTTGTTCGTGGTGTTTTCTTTTTTTGTTTATGCGCGTGCAAGAGAGCATAAAATGCGCGAATAGGTACACACACATATAACCAATCGCACATGCATATACGAAAATTTGCAAAAATACGCTAGCGTGTGCGTGTTTTTGTGTATGTGGGGGCGCGCGCATAGCCTTTACAAATTTGTTATTGTTGGAGCAAGCAGCAGCAGCGCTCTCTCTTTAGATTTGCGCGACTGTATGCATGTGTGTGTGTGAGGTGTTGGGGCCCGACTATGAGATTTATAACGCGACATTTGCAACGCCACTTTGGAGCATGACGGTTGTCTCTCGCGCGCAGCAGCTCCAAAAACACCCGCACAAACGCGAAGTACGTGACGCCTGGCTGCAGCAGCAGCAGCAGCAGCGCAGCAGCAGTCCCGAAAGCGATTCCGATTCCGATTCGGTTCCCGTTTCCGAGCAGTGTAATCCGCAACAGATTCCCGTGTATATTGATTCTGTGCAAGAGTGAGTGCAGCAGCAGTCGCAGCATCGGCAGCATCGCAGCCCCAACATCTACTCCCACACTCTATCTCTCTCTCACTCTCTCTGTGTTCGCGTTTCGTCTCGTGATATTCTGTACAACAAAATACAAATTTGTGCTTCTTGAAGGCGGCCCAGGCAGCGGCACGCCCTTTCATTGTGAGCACGCGAGTGTTTGAGTGTGTGTGTATGGCCAGCGGTAGCAGCAGCAGCAGCGGCGGCACTAGAAAAAGGAGATGCAGCAGGAGCAGCATCCATTCCAATTGGAAATCTTTTCAAATCACCGAATATCAATTTGAATTTTGAAAATATTGTCAAATAAAAAACAGTTATAATGTGCGATAGAAATTAACAGAAAACAAAACTCTCAAGCCCAACAACAACAACAACAAGAGAGAGAGAGAGAGAGAGAGAAGCAACAACAACAAAAACCGCAAGTGCAAACCCCAACATGAAGATGGTTGATAAATCATCAAAACTGGTCGATAAATTTGCCGTTATCAGTGGTGCAGGCGGAGGAGGAGTCAGCGGCGTCGGCGGCCTACCCATAATGCCAGGGAGTGGATTGCCTCCCTCTGGTGCCACTCCCTGGCACCCAGCAGCGGCCTTGTCAGGCATCGGTGGATCGGGTGGCGGCGCGATCAGCAGCGGCTCGAATGGACAGAAGCCGGTGCCCATGAAACTGTTTGCCGCCTGGGAGGTGGATCGAACGCCGCCCAACTGCATACCCAGGTGAGAGAGCAGAGCCCCAGTGCAGTGTGCGAGAGAGTGCACATTCAATTTTACATAAGACCAGAAGAGAGCGAGAGCAAGACAGCCGCCTGCTGCTGTCGTCTTTGTTTTTGCTGTTGTTTTTGCCAATCTCTTTTTACTTTTGCTTCCGTTCGATTTGGTATGTTTTTGGGTTTGTTTTTTTTACCTATTTTTAGACGAAAGAGCGGTAACTGTTATTCAACAAAGTCGTTTGACTTTTATTTATTACCTTTCTACCAGTGAAAACAGTACGCAGCGAGTGGGAGGGTGCCCAAGAAAAGAAAGAACAAACAAGCCAACGAAAAACAACCAAAAAGAAGTAAAAGATATCAAAACAAATGGCGAAAATAGGGGAGGGCACGAAAATACAGTTTCGAAATATACACGTGCAGAAATGTACCACAGAAATACTGTTATACACTTCTAGACACAATGCAAATGCAAATCAGAACTTTCATACATCGGTATACTGTTATAAATATAACTTTTATACATAGCACTGTTGCGGTTCCAAAGCTCTCTTTCGAGCGACATTCTCGCAATTATATATATAGAGAATTGAAAGACAAAATCCTAACAAAAATCATGATGTCTAGAATCACACAGAACGAAAAGCACAGCAGGCTCTTTACCTTAGGGTGTGTAACTAATCTACTGATTAAGATAGCAATGATCGATCCGTTACGCTACCACAAAGTGTCCAAAACTTAAACTTCAGTTTTTCAATAGACACAGGCGACAGCTCGATAGACCAATGGTTCCAGATTTCAGTTACAGATCTCTCGTTGAAATTAGCTCAAAAATTATTCTTTTGTTTTTGTGGAGATTTTTCTTGATACCTACATAATCATAATTAGATATTATAATTAATATATAATTAATAATTAGATATTTTCTCCCAATTCAACGACAACTCTGCTTCTTTCATTCATGGATTCCTGAAGTTCTCCAACTCAATCACTAATTCATTCAAAACCCTACATTTACTAGTCATTTCTAGTTAAATTCAACTTTTGCGCAAAAACAAAAAAAACGAGTTTTATATTTCTTCTATCTTTTGTTTTCGCTCTTTCATTCGTTGTGTGTCTCGTGTATCCGTATCTCCGCTCCGCTCCGAGTCTTTGTCCCAGTGACCCCGAAAATCTCTGACTAATGTCAAATGTTTGTTGTTCTTCTAGATATTGTTTATGTTTATATTTTCTTTCTGCTTTTTCTTTCTTTCGTTTATTGTTTGATAAGAATTTGCGGGTTATTTGCCCATGAAATGAGTCACCCTGTGGGACGATCTGTTCCTCTCTGGAAAAATGATCTATCAAGATTAAATTTCTCGCTCTTTTGGGTCGGGTTTCCTTGGATAACCTTTTCCAATGATGAGAAAGTACAGAAGGTACTATAAAAGAATCCAAGTAGAAGATTATAGTCTTTAAATTTGTGAAGTTTCCCCTTTTACTCTGAATTTGCTTGACTGGTAATTATAATTGGAATAATTAGAAACTGAAGCAAACTTTGAACTTTTGCCTCCTCGAAAGAAAGGGCAAAACTTTCCCCCAAATGGGGGCTTCCCTTTTTGTTGCTAATTAAATATTTCTTTTGTCCAAAAGAAAATTTAATTTACAGTTTGACATCCTCCCTTCCAGCCCTCTTTTTCCCTCTCCCTCTCCCCCTGCTCTGTTCAGTCATTTGTCGTCGTCACAGTTTGTCAAGCTCGAAGTTGCTTCCTCCATGTGCCACCATGCCACATGTCTTTATGATTATTTGTTGATTTTATCTACGCCTCAATGCGTCACGTAGCGCCATATCCCAGACTTTGATTAGGGCCTCAGATCGGGCGTAAAGGAGTTTTCCCTGTGGTTTCCTTTTCAGCATTTGCCAGACGACCTACGTGACGTCTGACCCAAAACGATGACCGCCGGAGGGCGGGCGGTCATAGAGTCGTCAGAGAGCAATCAAATTTGAATCAAATCAGTGGGAAAAAGGGGGATGTACACTCTTATATGTAAATGGATTCTATTTTGGACCAACAAGAATGCATTTAATGCATGAATTATTATGGGAATAGCTCAAAGTAGGAAGTAAATGGAACTCCTGGAAGCCTCTGGCTCACTCTACAGTTCTCAGAGTTTTTCTGGAAGTGGAACTGAAAGAGATACTAATCTCTGCAACTGAAAAACATGGGAAAAAGTGCATCAAAACGGGAAGTAGTATAACATTTTGCCCTGCTCTGTCATTTCATGGCCAGAGCAGGAGAACCCACACTCCAGATGGAACCCATCCCACACTCGACTCTCTCTACCACCAGGAGACCCTCCACTCCAGAGACCAGATTCAAGAGGCCGTCTTCGCGTCCGCGTCTACGTCTCTGTCCCCGCATCTGACCAATGCCTAGACGACGTACTTTGTATGCTAATAAATTGCACTTTTATGAACAGCTTTCGATGGGTGAGGAGGGGACGCACTATCTTGCGAGGTAGGGAGCTGGGTCCCAACGATTTATGCAGCTCTCCGACATCCGTTGCTCGTTTCGGACGTCTGCCTCGTTGGCAATGGCTTTGGCTTTGGCTTTGGCTTTGGCTTTGGCTCTTGCCCAGAGAGCGGAAGTTTTCAGCAAGTTTGCCGCTGCTTGTTCCCCATGCTGTTGTTGCCGCACTCCACTTTCGGTGGCAGGTTGGCGGACAAGTCAACAAACTTGACGTTGACATGGCTCTCGGACCACGATGTTGGTTTTGCTGGATCCGCCGCCTTCGTGTTGGACTTTTGTGCAAACAAAATGGAAAATCCGTGCACTGGCTGCACCACTGCATGAGTCAATGCTCTGGACAGAAGCGACTCCTGCCACAGGAGGAGAAGCAACCAGCAGACAGCAGACAACAAAGTCTTTGTTGTCGCGGAAATGGTTTTTGCTTTTGTTTTGTGCCTTGGCCCAGCGGCTGATTAGAAATTGAGGATTGAAGGGGTTCGAACTTTAAATTACTTGATTTCATTGGAT